CTTCGCTGCCATATGGTGGTGTTTTCCCCCCCTTGGAATAATCCTTCAAAACGCAAAAAAAGGGGGGCAGACTTGATTCTCTTGGCTACTGCTGGCTGGAGGATTTGCGAATGCAAAGTTGATAATAATTAGATTGATTACAAAGGGGTGGAGGGAGGGGGTGAGTAGTTGTAGTAGTTAAGAATGAAGGGTCTCTGGTCTAACCGTCCATCCATCCATCCATCCATCTGCTGGCTAGGAAAGAGGATTACCCTCGACCAGCGGCTGCGGCAGGGAGATGAGAAAACCGAGAGAAGGAGAAGGCTTAAGCTCATATCCACAATATTTTCTACACTTCAAATTCTAATTCTTATTCAAATTCCAGACAAAGCACAGCCAGGGAGAGGAGGAGAGTTGTTGTTGTTACCAGCAAAAGTTTGGTGTCAGAAGAAAGTGTGTTAATATTTTAGTATGTGCTGGGCAACAATCATCTTGTTTTTCCAACTATTTGGTTTAAGTGAACCTCCCAACCTCACTCCCTTCCCTGCTGGTTTGTTAGGAAAACTGATATAGCCCTAAGTCAGCCAGCTCTCTCGATTAGTCCCAGGTTTTTTGTGTTTAATTGATGAAAAAACAGAAATGGTTTTATGATTTCATGGGAATGTGGATTAAGTTTTAGGTTTTTTAAAGTGAATTTGGTTTTGAATTTAAGGAATAAAGCGAAGGAATAACCTATTTGATATAGAAATGAGTTTTGGTTTAATGTTACATCTTGAATTTAAAGGGAAATATAGTCTCGAAATTCTGATTTTAGATGTAGGAGAACCCAAATAATCCAGCCCCTCTTTGAGCTTGAGATCTTAATTTGGAACTTCCATGAAATTTCTTTTCAATTCCGTTGAAGTCCCTCGAATATTCCCCTCACTACCTTAATACTTCTTCTTACCACAAACCACAAAGCAACTTTAAGAGTTATCCTTCATTTTTCCACCTTCAAAAACATCCACATTCGAACTCACCTCGCCGGATCCTACGAATGACCTCCGGCTGTGGCAAGCAGCAGGGGCATTACGAGGGTTCACAGGGTCGCGTTCACATACATCGTTGGGAGAGTCATGTCAGGGAGTCAAATGCAGGCGCCGTGGCAAGTGATGCGTGTGGTAAATGCTGCAGGACACCACCTCCCCTCCTGGCCACTTTTACAGCAACGCCTGTCCTGTCCGTTGATTTTTTCTGTTCTGTTGTTGTTGTTATTGTTGTTGCAAAGGCATTGGGCTTCAGACAGGCTCCGCGCGCCATCGCTCGTTACAAATCATTTTAATGCGGTTACAACACAGCGCGCCCTCTCAGAGAATCCTGCAGCCTGGCTGGCCTGGCAGGGCTGGCAGGGCAGAACCTTCACCGCCGCCCACAACCGCATCATGTAAATAAAAATTATGAAAAGTTGTCGCGGCAGCGCGTGGCAAAATTCCACATAAGTATGCATTTAAAAATAATTTATGGCAAACGAGAAGGAATGAATCAGCGGTAGGAGAAGGGGAGAAGTGGGAAGTGGTGGCAGGATCGCCGGAGTTTTCCTTTAAATGGACACAGTCGGCGGGACAAAGTGCGCTTAATGAGGCTCAACGCAACGCAACAACATGCCGCAGCAGCAGCAGCAGAAGAGAAAGGACGTGCCGCAAAATTTCAGATGCCTTAGCATTTTCCAGCTGCCATTTTCCTTTTTCCTCTTCTCTTCTTTTTTTTTTTTCATCATAATTTTTCAACGGCATTTTTGTGCAGCACTTAAAGCCTGTCAACCGGTGTGCGAAATGCCATTGGGTTTCGGTTTCTGCGGTCCATCAGGATCAACGTTTTGGGATTAATTAATGATGCCAAACGTCCATTGTCCGCTGTCCCCTGTCCCCTGTCCGCTGTCCGTTCAAGCTGCTCTCTTCTCATCGCATGAAAAATGCGCATAAAATATGAGCGTAAAATATTTATAAAATCCATCCCCACTATACATGCGAGTGTGTGGGTGTGTTTGTGTGTGTCCCGTAACGTTAACTGTCATTGCAGTTTGCGGCTTTTCATTTTTTTTTTGTATTTTTAAATATGCTTGCCCTTTAAGCGGAAGGGGGGGAGTGAGGGTGAGGGTGGGTTACTAGTGTGCATGAGAGGGGGGAGAAATGAGTGTAGGCAGGTCCTGCTGGGGACATCCAAGTCCTGCCAACGTCCGTGGCCTAGAGCCGGCAGCGTAGAAATTACATTACATTTTACAAGCGACAAGAGGGCGTTCTCGGGACATTCAGGAGGCCAGCCAGCCAGGCAGGACATCATCCTGGCCAATAACAAACAACTAGAGGGGGCGTTCAGTTTGTGTGGCAGCATAAAAATTTCAAATATTAACATAAATTTGTACAATGAGGCAACAATTTGCAGGCAGCAGGACGAGAAGAAGAAGGGGGAGCGGGAAGGGGGAGCCTCCTGCAGTAGTAGTAGTGACAGCGCGACGGTGGGCGTGGCCTGGTGTTAAATATTTTGTAATAAGCACAGTAAACCGAAAGGCAAAACAAGCTGGAAAATTTATACATACGGAGAGGCAGGCAGGCAAGGCAGGCAAGGCCAGGCAAGAATATGGCCATAAGGATGTATCGGTGTGTGTGTCTGTATGTGTGTTAGTGTGGTTCAGGATACGCCAGACTGCCTGATAATGGTTCAATTATTTTTCCGCCCTATTTAACTGCAAGTAAAGCGGGGCGGGAGCGGGGTTGTCCTGCTCGCTCTCCCCCCCTCACTTTTCCCCACCCACCATTTTTGCACAATGGTCAACCAACCTCAACGCTCCCGGATATGTTGGACAATTTTCCGGCCATAGACGAGAGGAGACGTGTGCAATATACTAATACACACACACACACACACACACACACACACTAGCACTCACACACACTCTAGCACTCACACACCTACAATACTCGGACGGATGGACGGACGGACAGAAGGACGGATGGACTCTCTATCGTTGGCTTTGCCAACCGCAAAAATTTGTCACACGTCATATATATACATATATAAGGTTGGCCAGCCACGCCCTCTGTTCTGTTGAAGGCTGGCGAGGGGAAGTGAAAGGCCACGCCCCAACGCGCCCACAACTGCCGACGAAGTGGAACAAAGCGCTTTATATGCGACCATTGTCAGTCCGTTAAATGCGACTCAATTGGTTTGCCACAGTCGTCCGCTCAAAAGGATATGGCGAGGATGGGGGAGAGAAGGGAGAATAGAAGAGAGAGAGAGAGTCCTCCAAAGGTGATGTCCATGAGTGACCTTTTGGGAAGCAACAAACATTTCCTTCCACTCCTTTCCCCGATCCTGCATCCTGCTGCCTGTCGGCCAAGCAAGGCGTCGAATTCACAACTCGAACTAATTAACAAATTATTAATGATGTTGATGGGTGGGGGAGGGGAGTAGGGAGAGGTGTGATGATGGAGGCGAGGCAGAGAAGGATGGAGAAGGTGTGTCCGTCCTGTCCAGGACAGTCGAGTGAAATTTGCAAATGATTTTCAAACGCCTAGGCATTTAACATTAATTAACATTAATATAGCCATCCGGCTGAGCTGTAGCTGTAGCTGAAGGTATAAATAGAGTCCTTGACTTGTGCCCCCCCCCACCTTCCGATAGCAGCTTCCTCTTTCACCTCTTAATAACTCAGTTAAACAGCTTATGGGCACTTTAAGGGGTCCGCAAAGTGTTGGATGTTGAACTCAATGGATGTCTCCACCAACAACTATCCACTATCCACCCACCCACTGCGAACATCCGCTTTCTCGCCAAGGCTACCTCCCTCCCTCCCTCCAAGCCGCTGCCACTTCTCCAAAGGATCCGCTCGTCGTTTCCTGTGTGCACTTTTTTGAAATTCTTTGCGGATACAGAAATTTAATTTCCTTTGTAGCATTTTTATTGCTATTTATTATTATGATTATTATGTAGCACTATAGACATTTTGTCGGCCCCGTGTTTGCCAGACTCTGGGACTCTCTCGCTTGGTCCAGTCCGCCATCGTTATGACGGTCATAAATTTGTTTGCCCGCCCGCCGCCCCCTGGCCGATGTCGTCGGCCGGTTGGGTTTGGGGATATCGATGGTTGCTTTGGGATGTGGATGGTGGATAGGTTGGATGTTCTCTTCTCGATGGCTGCAGTTTGGTGGAGAGAAGGGTTCGATATGCAAACAACAATATTTGCGCAAATTGTTTGCTGTTCAACGATGGCAAGGGGAGGAGTGCCTGGCCCACTGTTGCTTCGCCTGATTATGTTAGGCATTGTGTGGGTCCAACAACTGCTTGTAAAACTATAAAGTTTCATGATTTATCCGAAATCGGCACTCGAAGGGGGGGTGTAGAACCAAAAAAATGTCTGACTTTGTAGAGCTGGAAGAGTGGATATACTAACAGGAATTAGTAACAAGGATTAGGACTTACTAAGCTGATTTTATTTGGAGTTTGAAAGGGTTTTCCATGGACTCGAAGGTTTGGGTTTCAGTTTTGATTGTTAATCAGGTGAAGGGTGAAGGGTGATTCATGGATGGATGTTTCATCTGTTTTCAAGAAAGAAAAGGCTTTTCCTATCTGTGTCAAATAATGATGTATCATTATGATGATGATTTTGTTACATTAACTCAAAAGTTCATAAGAAACCTTCCTTTTAAGCTGAAACTTACAAGATTTTCCTAGGGATTAGAGACCAAGTGTGGTGTGTCCTTGCCTTTGGCCATCAAGTTGGTCGCCTGATTGCGAATCTTTTTGGGCAGAGGCAAGTTCAGTCGTTTGGTGGCAGCCTCTCAACCCTTGACTCCTTATCCTGGGATTGGGCCAACGCCGCAGCTGCCGCCGGCACTCAAAATTAAACCGCAAAATATTCGCATATGAATATTCTTTTTTCCTTTTTGTTTTTTTTTTTGGATCTTCACAGCTTGAGCCGTAGCTCGTCATAATTTCCTTGCGTCTCCTTTCTCATCATTTTCTTTGCTGTTTTCTCTTTTTAGGCCGCGCCACAAGAAGGAAAATCAAGCAGAGGAAAAATAAAAAAAGAAACGGAAAAGTAGAAACCACAACGACGACGACGGGTGAGTTTCAGACGCAACGGGGAGCGGCCACGTCGCCGGCGCTCGATAATGAAGTTGAATGTGTTGACAAGTTTATTTGCTTAATTTTTGCTCGGCACGCCATTTTTGAGATTCCATTTGGCGGCGATGGCGGGCGGCTCTCTCTCGGGGCCCGTTTCCCGAAAGAGGCCACCGGGAGCAGCGCGGCCTTCGGTCCAAGTTTTCCCCAATACAAAATGGTTTCCCCCAGGGGGGGGTAGAAAGAGTAGGCGGCCGGGGCGGGCATATAATACGCATTCGACGCGGGGCGCGGCCTGCTGACAGGCGGCCCTCCATCACAATGATGAGTCGCGTTGATAAATACGAAACGAGGTTATGTACACGGCGATTCGTGGGCGTCTGTGAAACAAGTTCAATGCGATCCAAAAAACAGTGAAAACCGAAAAAAAAGGGGAGAGTTCTCGGAAAAGCCAAACCTGAAACCAACCCACCCATGAGGGGCAGGTGGGCTTGGTGGGCTTGGTCCTTGAACTCACTCATTTCCCTCTACGGATTTTCCCATAGCAAATAAGTGGTTATTCGTGAAAGTCATAGGGGTTACTACCCACCGGTTACCGGAAACTTGTTTTCCAAAAAAAAAAAAAAAAAGAAGGAGGAGGAAAAACCTCTTCTGTACAACATTTGTCCGTTGCAGATATGCTTTGTGCTCAAATTGCTTTATATAACCAAAAGGATTTTCCATTTTCCTGCCAAGTTTTTTCTGCCCAAGTTAAATGATAGTGTTTTGCCTGCTTAAAGTTTTAGGTTTAACTTTAATACAAGGCTTAAGACTTTAAATCATCTACGAAAGCCGATTAGAGTTTATCATTCGTTTTGGTTTTGTTTTTGTGGGGCGGTAGAATGGGTTTCTTTCCAAGACTTTTGTCTGTTTGTCAAGGAAGTTTTTAGAAGGTTTTTCTGTTTTAAAAATATATTTAAGATAAAAATCAAGGAGTTTCTAAAGGAAAAACTGCTAAATAGTTGATTCGAAAAACTGAAATTGAGACCCAACTTGTAGTACTTTTTCACGTGCCACGAATTCAGACAGCTAATCATGATGGGGGCGGGGGGAAGCCTACTCCTCCGCCCACCTACCCTTCTGCCCACTCCAAACTTTTTAGCCCCTTCATCCGTGTGGCCCTGTCGTTGGCTTTGTGCGGCCAATTAGAGCGTTTTGACGCCGCCTCGGGTCACTTTGCGTGCCATTTGCTTATTTTGCTTTATGCATTTCATTTCCCAAATTGCGGTCATAATTTTGTAGCTCACGGCCTGCCCTTTGTGGTGAAAGGGTCTGCCTGATTCGCTATGTCAATTGCAAATTGAAAATGCTCTCTCTTCTTCGTTCGTGGCTATGAAATGATGAGAAATTGCTTAGGAAAAAAGAAATATTGGAAAGAGGAAAGAGGAATCTTCATGTTTTTCAACTTAAATCAAGTTAAAGAGTATCCAATGGCTGGCTAGCTGTGAGGTTGAACGACTTTGCCCTTACTTTGCTTGTGAAAGTAATAAAATAATTATTAATTATGAACTGGCATAAGCACACACACATTTACACACATCAAGGCGCCTCTATTTGCGGCGTGTGTAAATATTTAATTTGAGCATTGTGATGAGGAATGATGTGATGACCTGGCAAATGGGCATGGCTAGGCTGTGGGCGCCCATGAAAATAATGTTCGTTTATTGATTTGAAAGGGGGGACCAGCAACCGCCAACAAACGCTAACAAACGCCAACCTGAATGAAATTATATTTTAAAAACCAAACAAAACGAAACGAAACAGTTCGTATGAATATCACGTATGAATACGACCCAATGTACTTTGCTCATCTCTCTCTTACTGCCCTTTCTTTGGCTGGCTTTCTCTGACAAAACGAGGCGGTTAAGGGAAAACCGAAAGGCCAATTACTTATGCCATTATAGCAAAAGGAAACCAGGGGCGCATTAAGTACATTATGCACTCGGTACTCCTGCTGCTGCTGCTGCTGCTGTTCGTTCCTACTGTTGCCTGTCACACAAGCTGCCAGGATCATCTGGTTGGTTGGTGGGTGAAGAAGAAGAAGAAGAGGTCCTGTGAGGGGGGGGGGGCGGACATAACTGGCAACTGGCAACTGGCAGCTGCATATATTAGCCAAGTTTCGCCCTCGTTTCTAGGCTTCTTCAACTACTTTCTCTTGGCTCACGTTCGTTCACTGCTCCGCGCTCAGTTCGTTACACTCTTTCCTGGCATGTACGAGCTGGGCACGACGTCCGTTTCCAGGCAGTTAGTGGAGGAAAAACCACTACTACCCAACTACCCAACCACCCACTATCCACATCACCTCAAACGATGGCAGCCACGCCTCGAAGTTCGCTCAACGGAAACGGAAATAATTTGTCATTTTATTTCTATTTTATGATTATTTATTTTATTCCAACGTCGAGTTTTGTGATTCAACTTGAGTCTTAACACAGACACAGACACAAACACACACACTTGATCACACATACATTAGCATTTGGCTTTTGGCCACGCTAAGGGACTTCCGTCAGTCCGTCAAGCGGCTGCCTTGCGTTTCAAGTGCCACAAATTGTTGCATACTTTACAGGGCCTGTCCTTTCTTGACATCGCACAGTGGTGGGGAACTAGCTGGGCAATTCCTGTAATTAAGATGTTCGAACTCTAGACTTGGCTTAGCTTGAGGAATTTTCTGTTAGAATTTTCTGCTGGTTAGGTAACAAAAATGATGAATTTTCCTGGCAAAAATAAAATTTCTTAAAAATCTTTGAAATTTCCTTTTTAAATCAACAAGCACTTTAAGGTTTGTAATTTGTAAAGCAAATCCGAAGAGGGGCAAAAAAGTTTTTATCATTTAAAACTATAAATCCAATTCACAGTTTACATTCATCATCTTTACTTTTTAGCATTTACATTGGCATTTCCCTTTATTCGTTGGCCACACAAAATAATATTTACCAATGCTGGCTATTTGTTAAATAAACAACAAAAAAAAAATTGAATTTTTCATGTCGATAAAAAAGGCTAACCAGAGGATATATTTAGTATGAACGAAAAATGACGTTAATCGCTTTTTATATTCAGTCAGTTCCAGTCCGGACTTGACTATCATCTTTCCTGGCCATGGCAAAATGTTCTCTCATCGTTTATATTTTATAATGAATTTTCCATCCTCCTCTTTTTTTTTTCACTGACACTTTAAGTGATTATATTTAACGAGCAATTGAGCTTTCGAAGTTTTGTAAGTGCAAAGGCGATTGATTAATCGTTCAATTATTTTCGGATTAAAGTAAAAGGTTTTTGGCCACTGTGCTCTGCTGGTCAGCTAGCTATATGTCTATGTTGGGTCAGGGAAGGGGGTGGTTGGTAGGGGTAGGGTTTTATCCGATCTCTGACTGTGACTGCGACTACGGCAGAGCCTATCGCTTACTTGGGCGGCATACTTAGTGGGCAGCCGCCAGTCGGGGGGCAGACTTGTTGTTTATGTCACATTCCTGGGAAATATATATTTTCCACTACTTTTTCTTCTTCCTTTCTTTTTTTTTTTAGCTTTGTTTTGACCACATTTCTGTCGTCGTCGTCGACGTTCTTGTTTGCTGGCTTGTTCAACAATCTCGTGCGTAATTTTCACCCCTTACCCTGCCTCCCTCTTAGCCAGTAAAGTGTGTCTGTGTGTGTGTGTTTGTTGTCACTTTATTTATGGGCTCGCTTAGGCTGTCCCCGCCGTGCTTCCAAGTTACAAGTTCCCAGTTTCAGGTTTAGTTTGGCATCCAGTTACTACACACAAACACACACACACAGGACTCGACACTGACTCTGGTTACTCCACTGTCACTCTGCCACTGCCTTTGCCACATTGCGATTCTGTAGCTGACCACTGATACAGTGATTTTTCATGCGATGATTAATTAACTAAAGTCCTGGCCAGTCCACGTTCATCCTCTACACTTCTGGCCATTATTTAGGCCCGCCGCCGACCGACGCCCATAAATATTTAGGCCAGGTCTGAAGTGGGTGTTCGGTCATTGGGTTGGGGGTTGCTCTTGCTGTTGGGGTGCTGCTGCTGCCTAGGTGAGTGGGCGTGTGCTGGCGGCGTGTTTAATTTCCACTCGAGCACCTTCAACACGCCGCTGCAAAGCGCAAAGCAAATTGAAAAACGCAAAAAGAAGAAGAAAAGAAAGAAAAAAATATGACAAAAAAAAGAAGGAAAATAATAACGCAGCGGCAAGGCGGCTCTGCTGCTGGCTTTCTGTGTGGAAAATACATAACGAAGAGCAAAGCGAATTACTCTTAATGAGTTGGAAAATGCAAACAAAGAGCTGCATAAAGTTGGCAGAAATCGCACAGCCGCCAGTCCGACGACTTGTTGGCCAAAAGTGACGCTGAATAAAAAATGAACGCCGCCGACCGCCGCCTCCCTCTGCTTTTTGGCCAGGAAGTGCGACCAAAGCGGCCGGATATTACAATACAAAACGAAAGAGTCAGCCACAAGGAGAGAGAGAAAAAAAGGAAAAAGAAGATGGAAAATAATAAAAAGGAATCAAATTAATGCAAACAGTTGAGTGAAAACTATGAGCTATGTCGGCCGGAAGGGGGGGCGATGGAAGTTTGAGGGCGTGTCTTGGCCCGACCCCAGTCAAGCGACAACTTTCTGGCACATTGTTTGCATTATATTTGAATATTATTAACAGAAAAAAAAGAAAACGAAAACGAAAAAGAAAAAGAAAATAAAAAGCAAAGCCAAGTGGCTGCTGGAAATCCACAGAGAGATAGCGAAGATGGACATACCCTAGAAGCTTCGCCAGGCATCTGAGGAATGTCCTTTAATCCAAGGAATTTGCTTTACTTTGCTTTGCTGATTGTTGATTGCTGATTTACCATTGGAAGGAAAAGATGCCATCGAGAAATCAGATCGCCATTGCATATTCCAAAGTGCAGGAAAAAGATGACAACAATGCAGCCACTTTTAGTCCTCAAATCTGAA